CCGGGGGCACTGGGGGCGGAGGCGGCCCCCACAGAGACCTGAGAAGTTGAGACAAAACGCCTACCTTTCTGGGCTGCTGTTCCTGAAAAGTGCGGGAAAATATACCCAGGTCCAGGTGGGTTGTGGGAACTACGAGAGTAATGGTACTAAGTAATGATAGCAATGGTTTAGCAATAATAATATTAAACTATACTAATTTATGTGCGATTGGCTCTGCACTAAATGCTTTAATTTTTTGTTTGCTTGCTTTTGAGACATGGTGTCTCTATGTAGCCTCAAGCTGGCTTCGAACTCACAGAGATCCACCTGCCTCTGCCTCCAGAGTGCTGGGATTAAAGGTGTGCGCTACCACTCCAGTCCTAAAAGCCCTTTTGTTGTTTTTGTTGTTGTTGTTGTTTGTGTTTTTGTTTTTCAAGACAGGTTTTTCTCCGTGTAGTCCTGCTATCCTGTAACTTGCTTTGTAGGCCAGGCTGGCCTCAAACTCACAGAGGTATGCCTGCCTCTGCCTCACCACCACCCGGCTTTTTTCTTTTCTTTTCTTTTCTTTTCTTTCTTTCTTTCTTTCTTTTTTAATTGCGTGACTAGAGGATTTGAAACAGAAAAAAAAAAAAAAAAACTATACAAATGAGGAAGATGAAACCCAGCTGGGCATGGTGGCACATCTCTGTGAGCTTCCCAACAGTCCTGGTCTACATAGTGAGTTCCAGAACAGCCAAGGATACATAGGTGATACATACGACCCTGTCTGAAATTTAAAAAAAAAAAAAAAGGAACACCCCTCCAAAAAAAGAAATTATCTTACCTGAAGTCAAACATCTGACTAAAAAGCCAGATTACAGTTTAACTCCAAGGCCTTTCTACCTGCTGTCATGTTGAAAATGAAGGCAAGTAATAAATCCTTTCCTCCTAAAGCCAAAATCTGGGGAGCAGGACAAGACTACTTCCCTTGTCTGCTACCTTTCTCTCTTAGAGTGTTCACTTAAAAACAAATGTGTAGGACCACAGTGCAGTTCAGTGGTACCTGTGTGCACAAAGCCCTGGTCCCATCCCAAATTCTCTTCTTGGCAAGGTATCTCCTCTCCAAACCAGTGTACACACTGTTTTGTTAACCTCTCTACAGGAGGAAGTAAGCATCCCCCTAAGGACTTGTTTACTTAAGTGTATACCCCTTCCCCCAGACCAAGAGCTCCTCATAGTATATGCTTAATAAAGGACTTTGCCTTGCATATATTAAACATAATATACCTTACACTGTCTCATGTTATCACCTTTAATGTGACAATCAACCACTTACTTGAAATTTTTATCTGCAAAGGCTCAGTGTACTTAGTTAGGGTTACTATTGCTATGATGAAACACCATGACCAAAAAGTAAGTTAGGGAAGAAAGGATTTATTTGACTTAGACTTCCATATTGTTGTTCATTATTGAAGGAAGTCAAGACAGGAACTCAAACAGGGCAGGAACCTGGAAGCAGGAGCTGATTCAAAGACCACGGAGGGGTGCTGCTTACTGGTTTGCTCATCATGGCTTGCTCAGCCTGCTTTCTTCTAGAACCCAGGACTGCCAGCCCAGAGATGGGTCCTCTCCTAATTAAGAAAATGCCGTACAGTGAGATTTTACAGAGGCATTTTCTCAATTGAGGTTCCCTCTTTTCAGATAACTCTATTTGTGTCATATTAATGTAAAACTAGTCAGTACACTCAGTTTGTGTGCAGCCTACTTCAGGAAGCCTTCTAGGAAGTCTGCGCACTACCTTGTAGTTACTCTGAGTGACTTTTATACTCTGCCTTTTCAATTGAGGTGTGTGTGTGTGTGTGTGTGTGTGTGTGTGTGTGTGTGTGAATTGGGGTAAGGTACAGTGTCTCCTTCCATCATGGGGGTCTCAGGGATGGAACTAAGGCTGGCAGTCTTGGCAGCCATTGCCCTTATCTACTAAACTGCTTCACAGGCCACATCCTCTACCTTGTTATAAGAGTTAGTTCAAGGCCTGTCTTCGTCACACTGGCCTGTAAAATCCTGAAAGACTGACTCACTACTGCATCTCCCTCACACATGAGCTTAGAGCACAGTTAGAAGTACCCAGCCTCAGTTGTGTATTTGCCCAGATTGTTGTTCCTTTCTCGGTCATGGTTGTTTCCAGGACAAATCCCAAAAATCCCAGTTGTGAGAGCCACAGTTCTATCATGCCAACAACTGTTATTATAATAGAATTCCTCAATATACTGAGACAACTGGAAAGACCCAAGATCTGGCTATCCACTGTTTCTAGACTTTTTCCATCACAGACAAAAACCAAAAAGGCCTCAAGAATTCCTGACTACCCAGATTCCTCTGACTTGGCCCAGCCTTAGAGAGCAAGTTATGCAGGTCTGATGAGCAACCACTTAGTCAGGAGTGTCTCCTTTGACCTCTTTTTGCTATTATTCCTTTTAACTCAAGGGAGAAGAGGAGGAACTATCCTACTTTGAAACATAAACTATAACCCAACTGATGCTTCTTTTGGCATGTTCTACTTTACATTAATGCGTTTGAACTTCACACACACACACACACACACACACACACACACACACACACCACCCTCTAAAAGGAAGCAATTGTCACACTCACTTCACAAATGAGGTACTCAGTGTCACAGAGGTCAAGCAATTTGCCCAAGGTTATATGGTTAATAGTTAAAGCAGTTGTTATGTCAAAATAGTCAAAACTTAGGCTTCAGAATCATTGGGGTGTAGTCAGGGAATCACTTAGTAGTTATAGACTTTAGGAGGGCTATGAAGTGATATATGAAAAATGCTTAAGGTTGAAGATACACAAATTAAGTTCAGAAATCTGAAAGCCATAGAACATTTTGTGTTTGAGAATAGCTGGAAGGAAAGAACCCATAAAAGTTGTTCTCTGACCTTCACATTCACACCATAGCATGTTAATGGAATAAAGGGAACTATTATTCTGCATTTGCTTTAAGTAAAAAAAAAAAATGAAACCTCATATTTATATTGTACTGCTTTAACAATTGTGTCTTTATTTGCAAAATACAGCACAATGAACTCTTAATATCTAACAGGTACCTTATAAAAGTTTGTTGAACTATACTAAACATGCCATCTCAGGTATACTTACCTGTGTCTTCAATTTATCTCCATTTCACAGATAAGAACATTGAGAGGCTAGGAAGACAGCTCAGTTGGCAAAGTGCAAGCATGAAAACCTGAATTTGGGGCTGGAGAGATGGCTCAGAGGTTAAAAGCACTGGCTGCTCTTCCAGAGGTCATGAGTTCAATTCCCAGCAACCACATGGTGGTTCACAGCCATCCGTAATGAGATCTGATGCCCTCTTATGGCATGCAGGCATACATGGAGGCAGAATGTTGTATACATAATAAATAAAATCTTTAAAAAAAATACCCTGAATTTGATCCTCACCACCCATTCAAAAAGAGAGAGAGAGAGAAAAAAAAGGCAAGTGAAGTGGCATGCATGCACCTATAATCCTATCACTGGAAAAACAAATCCAGGAGGACCCCAAGGGCTTGATGACCAGCCAGTCCAGAGAAATGGTTGCACTCCAACTCAGTGAGGCACCTTCTCTCAGAAATAAGGTAGAGGGTAACGAAAGAAGATACCCTGCATCAACCTTGTCCCCTACAAACATACTGTCACATAAGCAGTTTGGGTCTTCATGTAAGAAAACACATGGTCTGAGGATATAGATAAGTAGTATTGATTCCATCTAAAAGAAAAAATGAAGAAAGGAGGGGAGGCTAGAAAAGAAGAGAAGGAAGGAACACCTAAGAAAGGAAGACTGCCTTAAATTCATTATATAGGAATTGCTCCAAGTCCCTTTGGGAGCACCAATAATTTATAGTGGCTTCTCCACTCATGAGCTCTGGTTTCAATTACTAGCATGTAGTAGGAGATGGGAGCAGGTCTGTAGGGATAGCACTAATGCCTACAACTTCTGAGAATGGGTTTTTTAAATGCCATTCCAATGATAATTTGCAAATGTGTGTCCCAGATCTCATCAAAGCTCTGGGTCACATCCCAAATCTATTTTAGGAAGACAAAATATAGCTAATGGAAGATATATTATGATCTAATTCATTGTAACAGGAATGAGCTACATAGAGCAGACAAAAAAGACTTATTTTTTAGGGCAGCTTAATGTCTCTCAGGCTCTAAGCTTCAAATTCCTGGTGTATACTTCTGATATCACAATAACCACTTTGTACAGATGGTATAAAAATTAGATATCATTCATAAATGGCCTATGAAAGAGATTGGCCTGAACTCTATGTATCTTCAGTAAATGATATTTATGCAATGCCATTATGTAAGGTTATTACTTACTCCCTACTTTTCTGTCAACCGTCTAATTACTAACTTGTTTTCTAGCTATATTAGTTACAAGAAGGTGGAGGAGCTGTCTTGAACACCTAATGCATGTATCCCTGTCATTAAAAGGTAGGTAGGTGTTCCCTAAGAACTAAAGTTGTATCTGATGACTATAATCTGGGTACTAAGAACCAAACTTGTTTTTACAGCAACCTGATAAGGAATGTTTTTACCTTACTGTACAAAAGAGAAACTTGTTCAAATTCATAATTCATGGGTCTTCTGGTTCAAACCTGATTTCTTTAATAACATGTCTTGTTAGCATCCTAGAGAAATAGCCCCCAAGAAGACTACATAAACTGGAATTCTGAGCCTAGAAAATTGAACGTGAAACACAGATTTGTGATAAGCCTAAACTTGGGGTGCTTGAAGAGGAGCTCTTAAATCACAGACATCTTTACCATTGGTCACCTCCCTATGCTATTCTAAGTTTTCTGTTCCTGAACCTATCCTTAAAAGAAATCCTTACTACTTCTGCTTCTTTGCTTCCCAACTTTTGAAAGCAGTTGTCATATCAGCCTTCATGAACACTACACATTTCTGATGTCAGCATCTATAAAGCTGAGAAAAGCAGGATAATTGAAACTATAAGGGGAGGCTGTGAGGAACTCTGAATATACAAAGAGCTGGTGGTCTATATACATGAATCTGTGTGAAAGGCCTTCCACATAAAGGTTGCTACATTTTAAAACAAAGTTGTACTACGATTATAATGGTAATGCAGAGCTCATGCTTCCTAGCTGCCAGCTTCATAAGTATAGCTCAGCATTGTTCACAATTACCCAAGGCAAAAAGAATGTGTGAGACTATACAATAATAGCAATTGTGCTACTCAAATAACTGCCCCTGTACCAGGATCTGAGCCATGAAAAGGACAAAGAGTAAAAGACTGTTAAGTGCCATAGATGCCCAGGGTGTCATAAGACAATTCAAAATTGTTATCACCAATACTTCAGTACAATGGGATGTCCTGGGAGCTCCTGAATTTAGAGCTGGGAAAACCCAACCAGGTCATTCTTTGATCTATAACTTATTTTTATAATTTTGGGCAAGTCAGTAAGTGATACTAAGCCATGGTTGCCTCCTCTGCAAATTGAAGGTCATATACCTATTTGATTATAATATTATGCTAATTAAGCTTACATGTAAAAAGCCTGGTGCCTAGCCTGCAGCAGACCCTGTATTCGTTAGTATTAGCTTTCTTGCCTACTGGAGAATATTCAAGATTTGAGTAACTTGAACTAAAAAAAACAAAAACAACAACAATCATTTTTTTAAGATTTTCAAAAGCCTACTTAATGATTTTTTTCCATAATTTTTTCATCTATTGGTAATATTTATTGAATACTCTAGAGTAAGGGAAATTATTCAGTTGTTGTACCCAAAGTGACATTGGCTCTTAGTGAGAAAGCAACTACAGTTTTATGCTTGCCCTATTTCCTTCCTTTCATTTCCCTCTCTTATGTAAGGTCCTGGAAACCACAAGAAATCAAAAAGAGTACCCTGGGAAAGAAAATATTTGTACTCGTGGCTGCAGGTCCTTTCATCTACAGATTTCAAAGCTTTTTCTCCATAAGTAATTACTAGCCCTGCTCAACATGTGTGAATGGTGAGACACCATCAAATGAAGAAGCTTGTCTTCAATCACAAGGCACGTCAGAGGACAGGCTACAAACAGAACAAAGCTGTCTAGCTTTCCAGCTTTGGGCTCCAAAGTAGGACACATGAGAATCAACAAAAGCTTAAAGTGTTGAGGGCAAAAGTTTGAAGAGGGCTGGAGAGGTAGCTCAGTTGGTAGAGTGCTTGTTTAGCATGCATGAAGCCCCCAGGTGGGATCACAGGAACTATATGAAATTGGGCATAGTGGTATATACCTATAATCCCAGCAATTGGGAGGTGGACAATCAGAAGTTCAAGCACTCATCCTCAGTGACATAGAGTTCAAAGTCAGCCAATGACTCTGTCTTAAAAAGAGAGAGGGGGGAAGGAAGGAAGGAAGGAAGGAAGGAAGGAAGGAAAGGAAGAGAATACTGCTTAGAAGTTTAAATGCACTGCTCATAAAATATCTCACATTAGAAATCAGATAGAGGATGCTTTGTCCAGGCTCCTGATTCTTTTCTCCCTGGAATTCTATGCTTTCTCTCACAACCTAAGCCCAGTCCGTCAGCAAATTCTGGTGACTAAATCTCCAATATTCAAAGTTCTAACTTGATTTTCACAGTCCATCCATATCTGGAGCTTCTCCCTCTTCCCTAGCTGCCTTCTTTCTCCTGGACCAGCATCTTAACTAATGCCCCTTCTGTGCTCATGCTTATCGCCATACCATAATCTTCTAAAAATGTAATTCTGATCTTATATACTCCCTATTTAAAACCTACAGGGTAGAGGGAGAGGCCTTGAGAGATGGCTCAACTGATAAGAACATTTATTTACTGCTCTTGCAGAGGACCCAAGTTTGATTCCTAGCACCCACATCAGGTAGCTCATAGACACCTGTAACTCCATTTCCAAAGGACCTGATACCCTCTTCTGGCCTCCACGGGTGTACGTGGTACATACATGTGCATACAAAACATTCATACACATAAAATAAACAAATCCTTAAACAAACAAACACACACACACAAACAAACAAACAAACAAAAAAAAAAACCCGGGGCTGGAGCAATGGCTCAGCCAGAGGACCCAGGTTAGATCCTGACAATCCCTACAATGGATTCCAGTCTCAGGGGGATCTGACACACTGTCTTCTGACCTCCAAAGACACTTCGTGCCCATGATGTGCAGACATACATGCAGGCAAAAGGCTCATTCATAAAAAAATAAACATTTTAAAGTAATAAACAGGGTCTTCTCATTAACCACTTAATGCATGCTTTACAGTGGGGGCCAAGTCTTTGGAGGTAAAGGACATGTCTACAAAGTACAGAAGAGCAAATATCTGGCTACACTGAGATGTTTGGTAAAATGAAATGTAGAATATATATATGGAAGAGAAAAGAACTAGCAGAGGATAAAAGAGGAGCTAGAAAATCACCCAGACAGAATCAGGAATAAGCTGGGACAGACTTTAGAGAATTGGGTCTCTAGTGATTCTGGTTTATTAAAATTAAACCAGATAAGCAAAAATCACCACTGGGAGCAAAAAGGATACCTACTGCCTTATGTTGCTCGAATTGACAAATATAGTTCCTTTTAAAAGATGTATCTGTCTGTCTGACTCCGTGAGTGTATGGGCAAATGTATGTGCTGGTGCACAGAAGCTAGGGGGTGTCCTCCTTTGTCATGTTCCACCTATTCCTTTGAGACGAGGTCTCTCCCTGATCCCGGGGCTTACACTTTCTATGTTAAGGTGGACACACATATAATAAAGCTAACTTAAAAAATAAGTGGAGCACAGCTGAGGAAGACAGCTGAAATCAACTTCTAGTCCACATGCACACACACATACACCCACACACAGATGAACACACAAGCATGTAATATCACACACACACACACACACACACACACACACACACACACACACGTTATTAGAATAAACCAGTTCAGCTGGACATGGTGGCGCACATATAATTTCAACACCTGACGGGTAGAGACAGGAAGATGAGGAAAAGGAATTCAAAGCCATCCACAGTTATGTAGAGAGTTTCAGGCCAGACTAAACTTCATGAGACTCAGTCTCAAAAACAATCCAAATAAAGCCAGGAGTAGTAAGACACATCTGTGATTCTGGTACTTGGGAGGTGGAAGCAGTAGGGTGAGGAGTTCAAGGTCATCTTTGGCTACACAGTTAATGAGAGGCAAGCATGAGCTTCATGAGGCTCTGTCTCAAATGAACAAAATTTAAAAATAAGTAGATAAATGTAATACAGCACATAAATAGGCACTAAGAATAGACGTCACACCAGGTGATGGTGGTGCACACCTTTAATCCCAGCCCTCGGGAGGCAGAGGCAGGTGGATCTCTGTGAGTTCGAGGACAGCCTGGTCTACAAAGTGAGTTCCAGGACAACCAGGATTGTTACACAGAGAAACCCTGTCTCAAAAAACAAAAACAAACAAAAGAATACAAGTCATATAGTCAGAATAGTTGCAAAGATGACCTTTGACAATGTTCAGTATCTCCTTATAATAAAATCCCTGAACAAAATAGTAATAAAAGTTCAACATATGCCAGGCGTTGGTGGCGCACACCTTTAATCCCAGCACTCAGCAGGCAGAGGCAGGCGGGTCTCTGAGAGTTCGAGACCAGCCCGGTCTACCAGAGCTAGTTCCAGGACAGCCTCCAAAGCCACAGGAAAACCCTGCCTTGAAAAAACCAAAAAAAAAAAAAAATTCAACATACATAGCTATGTCAGACATATATAATAAGCAAGATTATACAAAATGGGGGAAAAACTGAAAACATGTCCACTAAAACAACGAATGTGACAAGGGTGCTTACACTCTTCACTCTTATTCCATACAGTGCCTCATGTGTTAGTGAAAGCAGCACTGTAAAAGAAAGAAAGAAATGGGATACATGCAAGGAAGGCAGAAGTCAAAGAATCCCTGGTTACAGACTGCATGGTCCTACACCTGAGCGACCCTAAGGGGCCTTTTTTTTTTCCCCATTAGATTTGATAGACACTTTCAGCAAACTAGCAGGACACAGACATAAAATACAAAAGTCCAGGTGCCTGTTGCCAAGTCTAACCCCACATGTTGCAAGGGGGGAACCTACACCCATAGTTTATCCCTTGCCTGTGTACATGTGCGCTCTCTCTCTCTCTCTCTCTCTCTCTCTCTCTCTCTCTCTCTCTCTCTCTCTCTCACACACACACACACACACACACACACACACACACACTTTAAAATGTAATATTTTTAATTAACAGGGCTAGGGTATAGTTCAGTTGCTAGGGTGCTTGCCTATCATGCACAAAGCTCTGAATTCCATCCCCAGCACTTCTGGAAGTTGTCTTCTGACCTCCACAGGCATACACATTTGAGCACACACACTCCTGTACAGCATTAATACATGAATAAAATAGTTTTTTTGTTGTTGAGTTGGTTTTTTGTTTTGTTTTGTTTTTAGTTTTACAAGACAAGGTTTCTCTGTGTAATAGCCATAGTTGTCCTAGAACTCACCCTATAGACCAGGCTGGCCTTGAACTCACAGGGATCTGCCTGCCTCTGCCTCCCAAGTGCTGAGATTAAAGGCATGCACCACCACTGCCTGGCTAAAATAGCTTTTTTTTTTTTAAATAGTTTTTAAAAGAAACTAGAATCCTCACATGTTGCTGGTGAAGATGTAAAATGGTACAGTCAATAGAGAACACTTTTTCAGTTCCTTAAAAAGTTACACAGAGAGTTAACATATGCCCAAACAACCCTACTCTTGGGTAAATAGCCAAAAGAATCAAAACTTTGTCTGCACAAAAGCTTGTTTAGGAATGCTCATAATTCATCGTCATAATTCATAGTTGTCAATTGCCCACTGACTTGTGAGTAGCTGTGTGTGGGGGGTTGCTTTGTTTGAGACAAGTCTCATGTATTCCAGGCTGACCTATAAT